CAGCGTCTTCAAAGTTAATTCTAATGGCTTGACTATCTTGTGAAGAATTGCATTAAATTGATTGCTATTTCTAAACTTCTCCAACTGATTCTTTCTAAATTTATTTAAGAAAATGAGCACAATATTATATAGCAAATGAGCATAATACTAACTGGATTAATAACTTCAGTTACTAAGAGTGAGTTGAACTTAAAAACGTGGGATCGTACAATTGTGCTGTAAATTACAGGTAATAGAATAAGCCTATTCAAAAGTTAAAGTTATTTATTGTGCAAATCAGACCTGCTTTGGAAATATAATAAGTACCCAATGAACACTTTAATGTATAATTCATACAAAAATACAGATTAAAGAATTTTTCATTACTTTCTGAAGACAATCTCTGAACTATTAATATCTATACCTATAACGTAGCCAGAACCGAAAATTTTCTAAGTTGTTCAATACTGAATAATGTATAAATCAATAATTGAAGTCATTAGCATAATTAATTTTATATTTTAGAAATCATTTTTCAGTCGTAAGACAGGGGTGACAGAGATGTTGTCAGCAATATGCACTTCCATAATAACAATAAAAAAAGTTGGCACATATGGAATAGTTTTAGTTGTTCCTATCCTATCCTATCCTATCCTATCCTATCCTATCCTATCCTATGTACCTTTCTTTCAAATGGAGTGTTGTTCGTACACCAAATGTCTGGAATTTTTACCTTTGGGGTGTTGTGTCAGGTCTGCTGTCTGTGGAAGGTGTCTCATAATGGCTCTATAAAATATTTTAATTTATTTAAAAATAGTAATGTTCTTACACATTTTTAATTTCTTCCTAACATATCTGATGTCTATTGTTAAATTAATAGCAATTTTTGATAATAACATAAGGAATAATTATTTATTTATTGATGTTATAGAATAATAGGCTAAAAATGAAGACCTTAAAAGATTAGCAATTCATAACTAAAAAGAAATATTCCATTTATATACATTTTTTTATATAAACTACTTTGAAAGAGTGGTGAAATATATTTGATCAACGAAGTCGGGTGTGACTCAAAGAGATTGCCGTCATTGTCACCTTTCGTTAAACCTTTGTAGGATTGTGGTACCTAGCAATAAGACAGCACCAATTAATATGTTAGCGACAAGTAAGTAACTCAATGTTTATTAATTATCTCCAGACATTATTGCAATTGCAACCTATCGTGAAACCTCTATAACTTCGTGATACACAGCAAGCAGAAATTGTATCTTATCGAGAAAGAAAAAAAAAAGGATGTCATTTATATTTTATTTTACATAAACTGCTACTTGTGTTCTTGGTGTAGCTTGAGACAATAGTGGTAGTTGTCGCTTTGTCGTCAATATTGAAAAATTCAATTTCCAATTGAAAGATTAATGATCTTTCAATTGGAAATGAGTGGAACGTAATACTAGATCACTGTTGGAACTAAACTGTTAAACTGTGACTTTATAAACTAGAATATTGAGTTTAGCATAAAATAGCATAATCATGTCTTCAAATTTTGATAAAAAATTTTTAAGAGACTGTGATAATTGTCAAATTTCGGGTAGTGTTGAATTGTTAAAGCAGCGTCAATATTCCAAGATGACACTCCAAAAGTCAACAGCGACTAATGATGGCTTTAACCAGATAATGAAAAAAGGTGGTATAAAAAAATTGACAACATTTGCATGATTAGAATTACTTTTGAAACAAAAATAAGAATTTTTACTTAAAAAATCTTTAAATTCTTCAGCCCGAACTTAATTATTTAAACGATTTCATTAAAACAGCATTATAAAGTAGTGTTTCAGATACCTTCACCGGAAATACCATTTTAGTATGCGGAGTCTGTTAAGCAAAAATGCTCTAAATTCTTAGAAAACAGAAATTTCAGATACTTTAGTTTAGAATTTTTAAAAATAATTCACTTTGCTTTCAACGTAAAAAGCATTTCAAACACGAATTATTAAATAATAAAAATTTTATAGTTTTGAAATATTTCAAGCAAAACTGAGATAAAATGGAGAATTTCTTAGAAAAATTCAAATAGTTTATTATAACCGTCAATCTAAATAAGAGAAGCCCGAAAGGTCAATAATATTTTTATGTTTTTTTATGCATATAAGTTCTAAATACGAACTTTAATAGATTATATATAGTGTTCTATCTAATATACAATGCAATTACCATAACTAAATGTGTGTGTGCTGGATGAGAGAAATTTTTATGTAAAAATTTTATTATTCAAAAATTAATTTGAAGATAATTAAAAAAATGTTTGCTTTATGACTACAGTATAAAAAACAAATTTTATTAAAAACGAAAATAAACCCAAAAGATATAACGTAAAGGCAACAAATGCGCTCTGCAAACATTTACTTGACAAACTGTTTACACTTTTTTTTTAAAATTTGTTATAAAAAATTGTTGACTTTTAAGCAGTCTAAGTGAATGCTATGCAAATGTCACAGACATTTTCTTCACATTATAAGCATCCCAGGAGATATAGCTTACCTAAGATATTCAAGAAGAAAGTGGGCCGGGTTGAGCCTTCATTAACAACTATTTATTGTATTAGCTACTATAGACTATATTAGGAACCGTCAACAAAGTCTCTATATCAAGATTTAAAAGTTCCTTTAGTTAAAGATTTCTATTATTTTAATGTCAATATTAATACAGAGAACAACTTTTATATATGAATGCAACTATCTAGATGGCACTCCAAAAATCTATCCTATACCGCATCACTAATCACAGCGTAGCTAATATAGACTAGCGAAGTATAGACCATAATTAGGGCAAATAAAAGTTACAGGTTCTAGAAGAAGTCACATTTACGATCGTTAAGTACTGAATATATTTCCTAAAAGATTTGGATTAAAACAAATAACAAATTACAATAATTTGAGCAAGAGTCACTTCGAAAATCCTTGTAGTAGTATAAGATTACAAAACTTGGGAACAATTGTATAAGCATGTATTAGAAAGATTATGTAGACACATATATTGATATATTAACAATTATAAAAACAAAGAAGTTAACATAATCAAACCATGATAGTAGCAGAATGATAAAATATATACCATATAAAGCCCAAGCATCAACTAGATAGTAATACATACTATTGAAAACCATGAAGAAGAAACATTTTTATTGTAACACACAGTTATAAACCTCAAGCTATTGCCTAAGAGATATATAAAACATATTGACTTAACAGGGTAGGACAAGAAAGCACTTAACAGGGTAGAAAAATCGGGTATAATTTATGAATTTGTATTAGCTGGGGAAAAAGTAAAGAATTTATATTGTATAGCTTAACTTTCAACTGATGGTACAAGAAATAGAATAAATAGATAATTTTCAATAAATCTACACAGATAATATAAAATTCAGAGTAAAAACTTTTGGTTAGATAATAATTGGTTAGGAAAAGCATTTTTTTTAATAATACAGAGATATAAAGTTATAGATTAAGAGGAGAGTTATTGCAAGCAATTATGAGTATAGTAATATTAAGAAGAAAAAATTTGTTTTTAAAAGGGACATACAATATATAAAACTCAAGAGATATAACAAATACGCTTGTTAAATAACATAACATTAATCTAAAGTAGTTTTAAGAGAGAAGGGTGTAAAGTTTTTTTTTATAATAAAAGTATGTGCAACTTCAGTTATAGTTCAAGAAATACAACAAAATAGAACGATATCATAAAACCAATTTTTACTCATTATAATGAGATATAGATATAATTTCCACATGTATATCACCAAAACCATCGAGTTCTTAATTAAATTTCTCTATATATATGTATTTGGAAAATTTAATGATATGTACTATAAATGTTAGTGAAAGAGTAGAGAATATATAGAATCTTCAGACGCTACATCATACAAAAGAAACTGCCTTCAGTTAATGTTGATAAGATTTCTTAAATTGACTTTGAACATTCTATAGCGAATGTAAAAAATTATATTCTATGAATAATGTATCAATCTAAATTGATTAATGAAGTGTCTAGCAGAAAGAGATATATTATATAAAAGTATAGTAACCTGTATTTAATTTTAGGTAGCAATACAAACAGAGTTACTCACTCCCTCCCCCTCTAACAACATGCTTATTATTATAATAAAATATAGCTATGACTTCATAAATATAATCTATGAATTATATATTATTCTAAATCGCTTAATGGAGTATCTAGCGGTAAGTGATCTATTATATGAAAATATAGCAAGCTAAGTTAGTGTGGGTTTTGATTTAAGATTGTATGGATGCTTACTTCATTTCACTATATGAAATATGAAATATTTAGATATTGCCCTTGTCAGCCCCAAGTGAACAAAACTCAGTAACTATAGACGAACGCATTGTAAACCGAATTTTTTTCTGAATGATGTCAGCGTCTGCTTTGGAGAGTACTATACGGTAAGGCATACAGTAAGGCCCATCTCAAATTACAAGCACTATTTAATTGTGCTGTTTGTTCGGTGATTTTATGTAAATTTCGTACTACTTGAGCTCATTGAATTTAATTTAATTCAAATTCAAATTCTAAATACATTCTACGCAACACAGAATTTTGCTAAAATATTTGTTATCTCAACTCACCATCACGACATTAATTTCACTTTTTTTTACTATTTCATTGTATATATATAATATATATATATATATATAATAACTATATATAATAAATACATATGTATATGTTTTATTTATTTTATTGCTAGTTTTATTCTTAGGTGATGTCATTTTTGATCAATTAAAATTGGTTTGGTTTGGTTTGGTTTGTGGTGCTAAGACGAATCGTATTGATTTCTTGCCACCAGACAGTCAGACAGTTAGACAAGTGTCATCCCAATTGCCAGTGAGTAGTGAATATGTGTTAATCAATTGTCATTGTCGAATTAAATGAATGTTTATGTTTGTGCAAATCCAAACCATTTTTAGATCATTTTTAATTTTATATTGTTTTTAAATATTTACCTCTCTTCTCCCTTATATGTGTATCGTAGTGAGAGTTGCTGCGTCCAAAATTTATGGCTGCCATTGTGGATTGGAATTCCTCGTATTGGTTGTGGGTGCTTTGTTGTAAAGTGTGTTGACTGTTACAACTCTTACTGATAGCACCTGTAGTAGAACTGCTTGTTGTCGGTGTCGAAGATGTGCTACTGTCCCTACTTGGGCTCAGAACAGTGCTAGCTATCTTCTGTGTTTCATGTATTAATGGCACGTAAACCGTACTACTTTTTATACTAGTTTCGTCACGACTTATTTGAGGCTCGCGCCCGGTATCAATTTGTTTACTTACAACGTTTAGATCTATATCGGTTGGTCTTTTTACGGCACCGGTTTCTATATCAATTACTTTATCTGCTCTAATGAAATCTTCACAGACATTTTCTTTGATATTTGTATTCCGAATAGTTGTTGTTGTTGTTTTTGTAATATATCTATTTGGATTGACAATTAAATTGGACTTTTCCGCCGGAGAACCTTGCGGCTGGCATGTCAAAACACCACTACCAAATCCTTCTGTTGGTACTATATTCGTAGTTGTTTTGCCTGACTTAACCTTTTGCCATGGTGCTTCGTTTTTCTGTTGTTGGTGTTGTTGTTGTTGTTGATTTGTGGGCTGTGGTTGCTGTTGTTTTGTTTCCATAACCGCATTTTCACTACGACATTCCACGCTATCCATTTGTTGTTCTTTTTGTAATTGTTCATAGTAATGCCAACGACGGGGGTTGCTACCAACTGTAATGTCAACACTGCTAGGCGTTTCTATCGCAACAAAAGTGTTCGTGCTTTTCCCATCAGGTGTTTGTTCAAAGTGCTTTATACGTCCCCTTACCGTGTCAGTTTCATCTAGCATTTCATGCGACTCGCTTGTATCCATTTCATTTTCAAGTTTTATAAGAATTTTCCGTCCTCCAGCAGTCATATCTATACTGCGTGGTGGTGTTGCACTAGAACGTCCACTGGAACGACTTAACGAACGTGGCACAGAACCCTCGTATTCGAACCTAGTACGCGCCTCACTAAAACTAGGTGAATAGAAGCTAGTATCAAAAGTTTCTCGTTGTGGCGAACAACGTGGTGAAATATAACCCTCACCGTGGCGGAAAATTTTTTCCTCATGCGAGCTGCCATCACTAGTCATTGATGAGGTAACTATAGTACGCACACCGTCTGCAGTTTGCACTTCACGCACAGTTTTCTCGGAATCCAAAAACTGAACAGTTGCAAGTTTCGGTTCAAGTTTTAATAATTTATCGGAAAAACCTGAACGGGTTGTGGTACGCAATGTAACATTGAATGGACTGGAATGTTCTTCGCTTTCAGGTGAATTCACTTTAGTGCGTCGAGTGGTACGTAATGTCACATTAAATGGACTTTGCGGTGGAGATTTACCAATGGTGACGCTTTCATTCTCAACATCTACGGCATGCTTACCAGTTGATTTGAGTTTCACATTGAAAGGACTATCACTGTGTATTTCTTCGTGTATTTCAGCACGCTTAGGGGAAATTTGTGGTATGGCACGTAGTCGTACCTGCTGAAAAGCCAATTTAGAAACTTCACTTTCTGCAAGACCTCGTTGTCGTTCTCTACGTAAACGTTTCTCAATTTCATGCATATCAATTTCGTAATCTCTACCATCAGCATCATCTGACATCGGTTCCACATTACCTTGACGAAACGATATAGTTGATTGTGCAGAAGTACGATTTATATCATCACTGTTGTCAGCACTCCAAGCACCTTTGAAAGCAGCCGTTTGTTCATCTATGTTCATGAGTTTTTCCGGGGTATTCGATGCACTCTTTATTAAATCACCCTCCCATATATACTCCGTTTCAGAACTGGTACTATGTGCAATCGATTTCGTAATGGTCTTTGTGTAGGTCCGAGTGACAGTTTGGGTATGGGTGGCATGCGAGTGCCCGGTTAAATTTGGATCTATTTCAACATTTATATCTAAATTTTCGGTATTAATTTCTACATTATCACCAATTTTATCACCACCACTAACATCAGCAACAGCACTACTGTTGTTGTTGTTGGTGTTGGTATTAGTGCTGCTGTCAGTTGTCACAGAAACAGCTGTTCGATTTACGCGACGTGTGCGAACGGCAGGTGTTGGTGGTGTTGTAGAATCGGCCACCGGTGTTGCCGGCGGGTCCTTATTTTTATCTGCATCCCTATCCATGGCATTGAATTGGGCGCTATGTTTACTGTTTCGGTCGCTTTAGTAACAATACTACGCATCGAAAATATTAGGTCAACCTAATAGTGCACAACGAGTCCACAATTTTCTTTTCGAAGTGTTAACAGAAATAATTGATTTTTCCCATGCACGCAAACAACAACAACAATAGTCACAGCAACAACAATGACATGCAATAAGGATTTGCCTCTCCTTCTTTCAAATTTTATCAACCAAAAACAACAACGTTTATCGTCCGTTTGAACGACGACGACGTCACAATACAAAAGCACCACCGCAACACTCGAGAGCGAGTCTTGTAACGGGAATACGCTCCAAATGCAATACGTAAAGCCTAAAGCCCAACAGCGATTGTTGAGTGTGCCTTCCTTGTCTGTACGCACGATGTGCCACAATTTACAACAACAACAAATTTATTTACAATTTAAACAGTGGCAATAGAAACAACAACGTTCGATTCTTTTAGAAACGTATTAAGAGAAAAACAAAAAAAAAAACAATACACAAATTTAACAAAGTACAAATAACACAAAAAAAACACTTTTTAACTCTTTTATTTAACCTCGTTTAGGTTTGTGGGCATAATTCTTCACTATTTTCATTGCTTGTTCACAATTAAATCATTATTATTGCCTTTTATTTCATTTGTTTACATATTTTTTTCATGTTACCATAAATTATTTGTTGCTTTTTTTACTATTCTCTTTTTTCAGCTTGTCCAGCAACATAAATATACACAAATATTAAACATAAAAACACTTTAATTCATAAATTTGTTATTCAATACGAATAGGAATTTTTTCACAAATTCTTGAGTCAGTTCCACACTAGGGTCCAATCCAGCAGTTAGCAAAAAGCCGGTTCGACTTGAACCAAATACAAAAATATTCGTTTAACATCAACAACAATTCAACTTGACGACTAATTTTACACTAAACGAAGAGTACGACACCAGCCCAAAGCTTGAATTAAATTTTACGCAATAGAGTCTACGCTGTTAAAAAAAAAAACTTTAAAGAGAGAGAGAGAATATTGCAAGCACAGAGTAATGAGAAACAAAACACAGCAATACAAATACCTATGCAGACGTTAAATAATGGTAAAAGCATAGGTAACGCAGCAACGCTGCTGTGTGGCAGCATGGCAGTGTAGCAGCATAGCAGCGAAATACCGAAACAGCATTGCGGCAGTTATTTTGCTTTGTTTTTTCCTTTTTCTGTTATTTCTGTTATTTGCTAATGGGTACGTCAAATTAGAGGTTGGCAGTTACCAAATTGTGTTTTTTTTATTTTTTATTTTTGAATTAGTTTATCAGCTGACATTGATTCGCAAAAAGAGAGCATCTGATGCTCAAAATGTGAATGCGTGTGTGGAGTTGTAATAACTAAAAGTCTAATAAGATTTTTTATGAATAGTAAGAAATCATTATCTTCTGTCTTATGGCTGGTGTCTGATGACTTGTGTTTTGTGGTGTTGCTGCGATTGTGGTTGTGGAGGGTTAAGAGCAAAGTTTATTAACTATTGTCGTCGTTATGAAAAGCAAGAGTTAAAAAGATTTGAAAGTAACAAATTTATATATATATATATATATATATCTTCCGGCAATTCAATACATTTTTTTCTTAATTCTTTTTTTTGTTTCTTGTGATATTGTAATTCTCTTGATAGAAGTAAATGAGACTTTGAAGTTTACAAATTATGTTTTTCATTCGTTGACCATTTGATATGAGGTAGGTCAGATTAAAGTACACAATAAGAATTAAGTAATAGCGATATAAATGGCAAAGTAAATAAAACATTTTAGATATTAGCACTCTACACTTGTGATACGCACACTCACACACACAAGCACACTTGCATACACATAAGCATGTGAATATTTATTTAGATTTACGCAAAACTAATTCATGTGTTTATACTAATATATTTATAATTTAATAAAATACATGAATTTCAAGCAGACCTTGAAAAATTCAAACAAGTAATGCAAAAAAAAAAATGTTTAGCGCCATAAACACAAAATTTAATTAAGAAAAATTAGTGACAAGATATTGAAGAGTTAAGACCGAACTTTACAGTTCTAAAAGAATTTATTGTACGCCCATCATGAAATTATTAACATTTTGTTTCTTAGAAGAATAATGGCTTACACTAAAAATTCATTTCGGAAATTCTAATTGGGAAATGTCGTAACAGAATAGCGATAAACCCTTACTCTGTACGGTTTCCAACAGAAGCGACAAACTGTGAAGAGAGAAAGCAAAATAACAGGTAACGAAAGAGCAATTGTTTAAAATTAGACCTTAACGTCCAACCGAAAATGTCTTAAAAGTGTATGTGAGCAGGAGCGCAATCAGAGCCAAGGAAGGATAGCACACGCAAGAAATGAATTTTTGTGTTCAAAATAAAAATAAATGTCCAAAAAATTATTTAATGTTCAATAGTAAGTTATGCTCTGAAACTCATTAAAATCATATATTGTTTTCAATGGCTACACGATACTACCTGCCCATATACATACATACATTAAAATACCATGGCACACATTTAGGTGGACATTACCCATATGCCCTATTTTCACTATGAAATACTGCTTTGGACACACTTATCAGAAAGAATCGACTAAACGCCTTAGTGATTCGTAAATGTGGGCGCATATATTTTTAGCTTCAAGCAAAACACACACTTCCGAACCTACTTTACAGCAAGAATATGGTCAGTAGGTGCTCTAATAATACACATTCCAACTCACTGTGGAAAAAACTTTACAGTGCATTGAGTAAGGTCCCACGCAGAATAAAACCCCACAGGATATTACTTTGTGGTTCTTATATAGTTCGTTTGAAATTGCCGTTTATGAGGCAACTTTGATTTGTTGCACAGTTTTACATGCAAACCTACATACAGTTTATTTGCAGTACAAGAATAGTTGAAACAGAAATGAAAGAAAGGAAGTTCAAGCCTGGAAATTTCGATTGCAATCGATAAGTCAGTTTCTTTTTTAACTTGAACTTCCTCTCATGCAATAAATGAAACAACATGAATTTATCATGCAACAAATTTCTGTTGCTTAAACAAAGGTTAAACGGAGATTGAGTTGTGCAAAGTTTTGTCTTCCCTCGGTGGAAGCCTGAGATCCCTAGAGGTTGCGTCCCCAGGAAACGATTAGGGAAGAGCCTCCCTGATATGGGTGGCAGGAGGGAAATAACTACACAGGTCGGAGAAGGAAACTTCGTTAACAAACCAACCACTAAATATACTAGCTCGGTGTTTAGTGGGATATATCAGTGGCGGAAGCTATACTTCGCGTCGTATTGGTAAAGTGACCGGATCAGATTTCTTTCTACGCAAGAAACGGAAACATCCTCCCAATTTCATTTCCTAGCAAACATGGATTCAACACAAATATATATCACGTCTGCAAATGGTACGCCCAGACATTTAAATCCACCTGTTCCATTTAATATTGAGGCTGCCTGCACATCGAATTTGTACCGCCCTTTACTTCGATAGAAGCGATAATTAATTAAATTTACATTGTAATAACATTTGTAATTTAATAACATTGTAATTATAAAGGAAATAAGAACAAAAAAAGAGTTTTGCCTTACAATGGACAGGAAAGTGGAGATCAGCGCAAAAATTCGCTGCACAGTGGTACCACATAGGATCTACTACTTACTTAAAATCGTTGAAGTCAGTGACTGAGTCCATTATTTTATTCTAGCTCTCATTCAAGTCAAACCAAAAATAGTTAAAAGAAGATAGTCAATTAAAACATGTTCTATTCGAAGTAAAAAAAACTATACAGCATTTTTTTTGTTAATCCTAGGTAAGCTGCTTAGATTGTGTAACGCCTTTATAATCGACCCTTGATTTAGCAAATATAGTAAACATAGGATTGATACTGGTTACTAATTTCTTGATCACCAATAGAGTTAACAGCTCTTTCCTAAGGAATTTCCTTCTAGATTAAAACAAAACTGTATAGGTATATAGTATATGTAAAAAAGCTTCATCCCTTTCTAGACAGAGACGTGATCAAGACCACCTATATCAGTATACTTTTTCTGTGCTTGACATTACATTTGGACATCACAGACTTTAGATGACACATAATACACATGAACTGATTTGAGCGATTGGCAAGCAAAAATGTTTAAAGATATTTAAACGACATTCAGCTAAACTTTTGTAACTATTTATTACTATGTGTGAAAGATGGGTTCCTAACTAAAAACCTTAGTTAAATGAAGAAGTTCATATGTTAAACTAGCTTTGAAGAAGACGAAGACCCCGATGTTGGATACATAAAAATGAAGGCACTAAATTCTTGAGATGTAAATGGCAAAATTCGTATTAAATACTTTGAGTTGAAGAAAAAAATAAATGACAATTGCTATGGAAGTCCTTTTGAGCTTTTTCCAAAGCATTTTATAGAAAAAACATTCCCATTTTTCCTGAAAGAATGTATATTACTTCCCTATTCAGCACCTTACTAAACCGATTTTCTATTTCCACACCTATAGATATGGATGCGTGAAAAGGAATGTACAAAAAAAAAAGCTTATTTAACAATTTAATTTCTATTTCCACACCTATAGATATGGGTGTATGAAAAGGGAAGTACTAAAGGAAAGCTTATTTAACAAGGTTCTACAAATCATACAACTTGTTTGACTTTGGAAAATTGAAAAATTGCTCTCATATCGAGCTAAAGAGAGACCAAATTAAGAATTTAAGAATAGAATTAAATTTTTTTAACCAATTTATTAACTAATTAATTATTAACAAAGTTAAATTACGATTAATTTTGCTGCAGAAATTAAAGTCTGTGCCCGTAAACAGATAGGGCTTAGAAAGCTTAAGTTATACTTCACAGTCGTAACTAAAGCCTCCATACTGACTTCAGTCATGCTGAAGTCATCAATTTTCCTAACTTAATTTATATTTTTGTTAATTTTGAGACTTCAGTTACGACTGTGAAATAGACTCTTAGTATTTGAGTCGAGCCAGAATTAAACTTCACTAAATACAAAAATAATTTGTTCTAATCAAATTTAGTACATATTTCTCATTGTTCAAAAAAATGTATACATACCATATCGCACGTACTAGTATTTACGGGAATCAACTAGTGAATAAATGATGTCATGCATATGTGTGTGTAGAGCAATTACATTGAAGGGCTCGACCAATTGCTTAACAATATACACAATATTTTGACCTACTGGGCTACATGCACTGACCTTGCCCAATGGAACCATAAGCTAAGACTCATTGTGGTCTTTTTATTTTTATTTAATTTTATTTCAATTTTTTTTTTATGAATTTGCTTGTAAAAAAATTATTTCTTTTTAAATAATAAATAATAAATAAATAAATATGGTACTCTTAGCAAAATATAAACAGATCATGTTAAACCCCTCTTTATACGTTAAGAGTGCCTGCAACCTCTCTTGCCT